GTAAGTACATGATAATAGATTTATTGTTAAGTGTTTTCATTTTACTTTCCAGTTCACTGTGTTTGTATTTGCATTATCACATTTGGGTATTTTCTATCTTTATATGACACTTTGGCAGTATCATATTACTGGCATGAAATATTATGAACATACACTTGTGTATGTTTATCGGAGTGATGCAAAAATAGTGAATATTATTAATACTTATTTGCAAGGAAAAAGGGGCTGAAGGAATAGTTATGTATTATACACTTTATTATGAATAATTTATCAAATAATGTGAAATTAATCTAGTGTTTTTCTCCTCAAACTGTCCTAATGTAGATCTACGTTCATGTGTATAGCGCTCTGAACGTAGATCTAAGTTTTATTTTACACGCTTTGAAATGTAAGAAAAAATGTAGATCTACATTCGGAGCACTACACATGAACATAGATCTACATTTGGACAGTTTAAGGGTTAATAACAGGCTCTTGTCATTTACATTTTTTATGAGTCTCCATTTGATTTTTGTGAAAAGAGAAATAAGTTGCTTTGTAATAATTTTTAGTAAAATTTCTTCTGGAGTTCATGAGAATGCACTGGCTTGGTTAGGTGGGTGTCTATTGGTAAGGCAATTAGGATGTTCATGCTCATTTTAAGCACCAGTGGTAGTGATTGGTAACTGAATATGTGAGCTCATAATTGCAGCTTAATATAAAGAAACTGAGAAAGCCACGGGCTTCCTCTCCGCATCAGCCCCCCCCTTCCCCCAATGCCCACTTTTGTACTTTGTAACAATAATAAATAATTTTGTTTTTCCTTCACTCCTTGACTCATGCCTGTACAGATATGTGATATTGAGAAGTAGTACAACTAGGTATATGCAGAAGTAAGAGAGAATGTGAGTTTAAAATTTTGCATTGCTGATTGAAATCAATATTTTCAATCATCTATTGTTTACACTGAGAGTTTAGTAGAGTGCAGTACCATTTTAATGTTATTGGTGGTAGTATAGAGGACCAGCTGAGTTAAAATTTAGTCACTTTCAGTAGCTACAGTTGTAAATACCTTGCACACTGCTGGCAGCCCCTACCTGACATCATGGAAGAAAAAGAGGGAATATAAATGTATAAATTCAAGAATTATGTGGATTAAAATAAGGGTGAGATGCAGAAAGTGGATTAAGTGTTTGTGCATCTGGTAAAGAGGACAGAGAGTGAGATTCTGGGGGATGTTAAGCAAGTGTTTAGGGAGTTTTGAACTAAGTGAGAGAGTAATTGTGATGGAGATCTAAATGCTGAAATAGAAAAAACTGTTATACATGTAGTAGGTAAGTTTGGGATACCAGGGGTAAATAATGGGAGGCCTTTAGTGGAACTTCATGTAGAAAGAGGTTTCATAATAGGTAATGCATATTTTATGAAAAACAGGATGAACAAGTACACAAGATATGATTTAGAGTGTAATGACAACAGTTTGTTAAACTATGTATTAGTAGATAAAAGGTTGATGGGTAGACTTTTGGTTGCGCCTGTATTTAGAAGGACAACAGATATATCAGATCACTATTTAGTTGTATCAACAGTAAGAGGTGGATGGGTACAAGATAAATATTATCAGTGAGTAAGAGAGAAGTGAAAGCTCATAAATTAGAAGCAGTTGGGTAAGATATAAGCAAATTTGGGGAGAAAGAGATGGTAGTGAGAGTATAAGTAATGAGGTTGAAGAAGTGTGTGGTAGATTTAAGAATGCAGTGTTAGAGTGCAGCATAGGTTTGTGGATATAGGAAGGTGGGTGCAGGAGGGAAGAGGAGCAGTTGTTGGAATGATGAGGTAAAGAGAGTGGTAAGGGAGAAAAAGTTAGCAATTTTATAGGTTTTTACAAAGCACAAGTGATATAAGGAGGAAAGGAGAGGTAGAGGAGGAGGATGAGAGGAAAAAAAAGAGTGTTGAGAGTCTTTCTACTCTAGAGTGCAGCCATGGGCCAGGCAGTAAGGGAGAGTAAAAAGAGAGCAAATGAGAGAGTGGGTAAAGTTTATTCAACAAATTTTGCTGAGAATAAGAAAAAGTTTTGGAGTGAGAGTAATAAGTTAGGAAAGCCTAGGGAACGTATGGATTTAACAGTTGAAAACATAAGAGGAGAGTTACTAGATGGGGAATTGGAGGTATTGGAAAGATGGAGGGAATATTTTAAGCATCTTATTAAATGTTGATAACAGAGTGGCAGTGATTTCGTGCATTCTTCAAGGAGGTATAAGATTTTTGGGAAGTGAGGAAGAGCCAGTGTAAGTGTGGGGAAGGTGTGTGAGGCAGTGGGTAGAATGAAATGGGGTAAAGCAGCTGGAATTGATGGGATTATGATAGAAATATTAAAAGAAGGTACAGATATAGTTTTGGAGTTGTTGGTACTTTTGTTCAATAAATGTATGAAAGAGGGGAAGGTACCTGTGGATTTGCAGAGAGCATGCATAGTTCCTTTGTATAAAGGAAAGGGGAACAAATGAGAGTGTAAAAATTATAGGGGAATAAGCCTGCTGAGTATACCAAATAAAGTGTATGGTAAAGTTGTTATTGAAAGAATTAAGAATAAGACGAATAGCAGGATTGCAGATAAATGATACTTTAGGAATGGTAGGGGATGTGTAGACCCAGTTTTTATGTTGAAGTATATAAGTGAACAGTAGTTACATAAAGGTAAGGAAGCTTTTGTTGCATTCATGGATTTAGAAAAGGCATATGAGAGGGCTGATAGGGGAGCATTTGTGCAAGTATATGAAATAAATACAAAGTTGCTGAATGCAGTTAAAAGTTTTTATAAGGAGTGAGGCTCATGTTAGGGTACGTAGGGGAGGGAGATTATTTTACAGTAAATATAGGCCTTATACAGAGATATATGATGTCACCATATTTGTCACCCTGCCTCGGTGAGAGACGGCCGACTTGTTGAAAAAAAAAAATATTTGTTTAATATATTTATAGATGAGGATTTAAAAGAAAAGAATCCTAGAGTGTTGGGGAGAGGTGTGGGATTGGGAAATAGTCTAATTCATGGTGGGAGTTATCACAGATGATTTTTGCTGATGCCACTGTGATTTTGGGAGCTTCTGAAGAAAAGTTGCTAAGATTATGACCGTATTTGGGAGGTTTTGTAAACAAAGGAAGTTGAAAATGAACATAGGAAAGAGCAAGGTGATGAGGATAACAAAATAATTTGTTAATGAAAAATTGGATATCAGATTGGAGGGAGGAAGTGAATGTGTTCAGATATTTGGGAGTGGACTTGTCAGCAGATGGGTCTATGAAAGATAAGGTGAACCATACAGTTGATGAGGCAAGAATGTGGGTGGTTCTTTGAAGTGCCTGTGGAGACAGAAATGTTAACCTTGGAGGCAAGAAGGGGAATGTGTAGGAGTATACTGGTACCAGTATTCATATGGATGTTGCAGCAGTGAGGTGACTGGAGGCAGTGGGAATGACATGCCTGAGGGCAGTGTGTATGGTATGAATATTATACGAATTCACTGCTTGGAGATTAATAAATGTGGGGTTGTTAAGAGTATTATGCATCCACCTCTAAGCCCACTAAACTCTGGGTCAACATCACTTTCCTCTTAAAATGGGAGAGTTAATACTACATGAAATCGGTGAATCCCAGGTGTTTGCCGCGCTGTTTGCTCTAGGTGGCGCTCATTTGAACTAGTGCTCCCGCAAGGTATTAAGTGGTCCAAAATTTTTTTAATACAGTGCACACTGAGTGTTATGACCCATTCTGTGCTGACAAGGCAGCTCAGGCCAATCGTCCCATATTGGAAGGCAGGAAAAATTAAACATTTATATATGTTTGGGGCACTAGCGGTAAGAATGTATATATACGTTTGGACTGTTAACCCTTAAACTGTCCAAACGTAGATCTACATTTTTTCAACATTTGAAAGTATGTAAAAAAATGTAGAGCCTCTTTTTATTTTTTACACTTGAAAACGTGTAAAAAAAACTTGGATCTATTTTTTTTTTGTTGTTGTTGAAAATATGTTAAACAACATAGATGTACTTTTGGAGCACTGCGCATGTGAACATAGATCTGTTTGGACAGTTTAAGGGTTAAGGGTTAAAGGAGGGGTTTGGGATATTGGCAGTTTGGAGGGATACGTTATATATCTTTATATTTGCTTCTAAACTGTTGTATCTGGGTGCCTCTGCAAAGACAGTGATTATGTATGAGTGAGGTGAAAGTGTTGAATGATGAAAGTATTTTCTTTTTAGGGATTTTCTTTCTCTACTTTTAGTTACACTTATGTCACTCTATACAGGCATACACATGCATATATATTCACACACACATCTAGGTTTTTTCTTCTTTTTCTTAATAGTCTAGCTCTTCTTTATTTCCTTTATTCTCCATGGGGAAGTGGAAAAGATTCTTTCCTCCGTAAGTCATGCATGTCGTATGAGGCGACTAAAATGCTGGGAGCAGTGGGCTAGTAACCCCTTCTCCTTTAGAAATTACTTAAAAAGAGAAGAAGAAAAACTTTATAAAACAGGGATGCTTGAATGTGTGTGGATGTAGTGCAGATAATAAGAAAGATATAATTGCTAATGTTATGAATGAAAAGAAGTTGGATATCCTAGCTCTGAGCAAAACAAAGCTGAAGGTGGTAGGTGAGTTTCAGTGGGGAGGAATAAATAGGATTAAGTCAGGAGTATCTGAGAGAGTTAAAGTTTAGGAAGTGGTAGCAGTAATGTTGAAGGATCAGTTATGGAAGGAGGAGAGGGAATATAAATGTATAAATTCAAGGATTATGTGGATTGAAATAAGGGTCGGATGAGAAAAGTGAGTTATGAAAAGTGTGTATGAACCTGGAGAAGAGAGGATTGTAGAGGAGAGAGTGATTTTGGGAGATGTTAAGTGAGTGTGTAAGAACTTTTGAACCAAGTGAGAGAGTAATTGTGGTAAGGGACCTAAATGCTAAAGTAGGAGAAACATTTAGAGGGGGTGTGGTAAGTAAGTTTGGGGTGCC